ACTTTCCTTGAACGAAAGCACTCTCGAGTTAGTGTAAAATTTGAATTTCTTCCATTTTACGACTAGAGAATATAAAAATCCATACAGCGACAAGTTCCCAAAAGCTTGCGTAACGGAGTGGGATTTCCAGCGTATTTTTCCGCTCCAAAATAAATCAAGTGCATTAACCCCGGTTCGAAATTGCATATTTACGAATCCGACGACGGTTTTTGGCGCGTTGGGAGTCACCGGCGCGGAACCACGCCGAAAAGGGTTAATTAATTTGCTTGCGTCAGAACCCGAGTCATTTTTCCCGCTTGAATTCCTCCCGTACTGCACCGTGTGTATTCTATGTTCGTAGAGTCGGATTTGGACTAACGAATATTGTCTCGAAAACATCGGAGGATCGCGCGGTTGGGCGGGTCCGCCACGATGCCCCGAGATTCTCGCAGTCTTGTCCGTGTCGCGGCCGTCACGCAACGGAGCGACCGATGTAAACGCAAAATTAGACTGCTATTAAATTTTTAACGTACGTGTGTAATCATAGCAATAAATGCGAAATTGAACGTTCCGCGGACAAGCGCTCTATACCAGCCGAGTTTTAATATTTTTAGCGGGCACTTAAATGTGCAGTTTTCCTTATTGTACTCAAAAACCGAAAAACAAGCGATTGAATGTTAGGGAGCATTTGCTCTCAGGGTTTTTTTTACGGAGCCTGAGGGGAGGGGTGAGAAGCAATAAAGTGATGAACATATTACTGCGTCAAGGAAAAACGGCATATGAGCCTTCAGACGTTGTCAAATGTCCGTTGACAAATCACAAATTTTCGGAAAAAATTGTTAATATTGCTCTTCGGATTTTTCAGAGCATCTTGTCCGTAATTTGATCTAATGTGTCTAAAAATTTTGAGGAAAAATGTCAATACCTTTCGTCAAGAATACATATTTTCCTAGAGAAAATTCGACAACGTTCGAATGCTCGTATGACGCTTTTCCTTAGCACGGCAGTAAATAGGTCCCATTATCTGCGCGCATTTAACGATTCTGAAATATTTATATTGGCAGCGGGAAAAACTGTACCCCCTCCTCAAAAAGATACAGCAGCTTATTTAATTGGCTTCTCTTTAAGAATTTCATTAATTAATTCCACCTTCATGAAAAAATTGAAGTCTTTCCAAAAAAAAAAATGAAACGAAATCATCATATTAGTACAGCGAATGCACTTTTTTGTAGACTTGCGGAGTCGCGGACTTTTCAAATTTGTCGTTACGGCTTTCGGGTATCCTAAACGCCAAAAAATTGAAAATTTCGTCAACAACCGCTCTCTCACTGCGGATTTAACTCCCCTTAAAATTCAGCCGAAACACCGCGCGCCCGTGCTCTTTAGCACCCTTAGCGCGTCGACTCGTATTTTACGGCCGGGTCATTAACGTGTGCACTGTGCAATCGGAGTTAGCCGATGCATCGGTCGGGGTTAGCCTTGGGCGTTGATGAAACTCGCAGTTGCCAGCCGAGCAAAAAATCTAATTCCTACAATTTTTACTGGGTTTAACAGGAATGGATCAAGCTAAATGGAAAACCAAGGCGGTCTACTTTTCAGTATATTGGGAAAAGTCCATGAGCATCCCCATACGATTGGTTCATTTCTCCGACGTTATCTCGTCTGTAGCAAATCTGACAGAGAACTAATACGAACTCGGCCCTGGAATATTGACTTGACTCTTTTTACATTCTAATTAGGGATTCGAAATTACTGTACACTTGATGAGGGGGTAAAAGAATTCTCCTGCAATGTTTTCCCTTTTTGGTTTATAGAAATAAACTAGTAAAGCTCCTGCAGTCAATTGAACGTAAAAATTTGACCACAAATTTTTTTTTATGACCGATGAAAAATACATTTTGTAATCGAAGTAAATCCAAAATGTAATACATACATTAAGCCGCTTTTAGCGCAGCCTCGCGCTCTATGACGCCCAATCACCATTGCCCCCTATCCTCCCAGAGACCACCAGGCAATGAATTCTTTATGAACAATGAAAAATAGATTTTGTAATCGAAGTAAATCTAAAATGTAATCCAGAACTTGTTCGCCCTATTGACAGTCGGTGAAAACCCGGAAAAGTCGTAAAATTTTACCCAACCATAAAAATGTGACGGAATTTTGAAAGCCAAAAAAAACTTGTCACCCTAAAAAACTTGCGTTTTCCGTTAAACTTGATCTGATTGTAAGCGCGGGTTGAAAAGTCTCAAAGCCCAAAGCCGGCAACGGGGGAGGCTCCAGGCCGCGAATCAGCTCAATCTAGATTCTGTGAATCCATCTCTGCCGCCATCGTCTGACGACAGTGTAGCCTGTCGGAGATGAGCTCGGAATAGTCCGGGCGACTGGGCCGTAATTATCCGCCTACATTCAAGGCCTCCCCCCGTTCCCCCCCATCCCCGCCCCCGCGGAGCGCCCCAACGTTCAAGTCTAATGGCCGACTTTTTTCCTCGTTACACTCGGCGAAGCCCTAGCACGCAATCAGGAAAACCAGTTCGGTATCGTATCGGAGAGACGGATCGCGTCGATTTCGGCGAATTACAGCGACCGTCAGATTTCGGCACTCCACGATAATCGTCGCACAGTAGATCGAGTCAATGAGAGAAGTCGGACATACATTTTTTGACCAAAACCGCAAATCTTGATGTTTATTCTATCCCATTTTAAATTTTGAGGGGTGTGTCTAGAAGAAAATCTCACGATGAAACCAATGAAACCACTTTCAGAACCTCAAACTTTCGTTTGAACGGAGTTTTAAGCGATTAAAGTTTCAAAATTATGTCCGACCTCTCCTATTGACCCGGTCCACTGTGCGTCGCTTCGGAATTTTCGGAGCTCCGGAATCGGAATTTATTCCCGGTTCGAGGGATTGGAATTTTAATGAGGCCCCTGGTTGGATTCGAGTCGTTTGGATTGCGCCGAAAATTTTGGAGGTTTTTCAGTCCATTCTTCATTTTTTTGGATTGGATTCCAGCTATGTGGGTGGAATCTGGCTTGAGGCTCATTGAATTCGTCATCGTTTAGGTATTTATTCTCACCGATGAGAAAAACCTACACTTTACAATGTCCCATCTTCACCAAAAAGTACAGCTGAGCCGAACCATTATAATTTTATACAATTGCCAGGCCTATAATAAAAACAATTTTGAGTGGCGGGGTGACGAATACATCTCATTTTAATCAAGTAAAATTTATTTTTATTCTATAAAACATTCTGGGTCGATTCACATTCCGTAAACTTTTAATTTGGCTTTGTGTAATCCGATTGATTTTTTTATATTCTCCCGATGCCGATTCACGTCATGACTGAAGTTCATCTAGGTAAAACACTGCTAGGTTAAATTTTGAAAGGATTTTTGTTAAACCAATTCGTTGGGTTCTTGTTAACGATTTTCACTATGTTCTTCATAGGATTATTCACAAAAATTAAAGAGTATGAGTAAATCGATGGTTTTTACTTCTCAGTTAAAAGTGAATGAACCTCCCACTTCTGATAAATCGAAATCTCTTTTTAATGGAAAACTTTTATGAGGATTCTAAGAAGTAAATTGCAATGGTAGAGCTCATTTCTGTCCAAAGATGGTTGTAAAGTTGCAATATGTCCCGACAAAGAGCCTTGAGCATGGCTATTTCAAGAGTGCAATGATTTTTTCGCAAAGCCGAGTTTTTTTGCACTAAAATGTTCGCACTCATTCAACCAAGAGATCTCAATTTTAAAGTTTCCTTTAAGTGTTTCTTTCCCTTGGACGGTCACTTTTGCACTTCGATGTATTTAAAATTCACTGAAATCCCCCACACGTGGCTTGTATCCTTTCGGGTCCACTTTCATCAAATTCACGATGACGTCACTCGCTGATTATCCAGGTCGCTCCGCACCACAACGCAACTTTCACTTCACGCAATTTTCAGAAAATTCCGCCGATTTTCCGATGAAAAAAAAACTCGTATCCGAAGTGCTGAAACCAGTCGGCGCGTTTGCGAGGAACATGATAAACTGTGGCAGAGCGTTCAGCGTAGCGCCGGGTTATATACTGAAAGCCACGGTGGAAACAACAAAAAACAGGAATGCACCTTCCTGTATGGAGCCCGTCTTCCTGCAGGATATCCTCCGATTATTGAATGCGTTAATCGCTTTTAATTATGATATGACTCCTGTCCTGTCCGACTCCGACGCGACGCCCAGCGCTGCTCTTGACTTTGGTCGCGGCGATTCTTATCACCTGTTGCACGGATGCGCGGTGTGAGGTTCGGCTGCTTTTCGGGTTTTGGGGGAAATTTTACAGCTGTAAACAAATATCTGCGGATTTCAAGAGTCATGAGTCGAGATTGTTGTACAACTTTTGGATCGTACAGAGGTTAAAGTTGAACCACCGCTTCGAAGTATTGTTAAATCTCACCCCCCCCCCTCACTCCCTTTAAATGATTCCAACACGGAAGAAAAGAGGTAGAGATTATTGGATGATATGGGCAATTCCAATTAATTGTGGTAGTACCCCAATAAATTAGGTCACAAACCAAAATGTTACAGCAATACCCAAACTTGAGTTGCAGTGCCACCAAAATTCATTGGAAATGCCCATATCATATAACAGATTGGGGGTAGCACCACCATTTTAGAGGATAACCCCTCCAATTTTTTTTCTGTGAAATCAGGGTGTAAATGAATTCCTGAAACTTAAATAATTCTATGTCGCACGTCAGGTAGTAAGAAATATTCAAACTTTGGCAATGAAATAGACGTAATAATAATAATTCTGAAACGACAACTAGAGTAGTGGGAAGTAGCAACTTGAAAAAGCTGTTGGTAATTCTCATTCTGGCCTCATATTTCACTAGTGGCTGATTTATCACTTGGTTCTGTAGGTATTGTAAAATACTTATCCTTTTTGAAAGTGTATTTTAAAATACTTATTCTTTTTGAAAGTGTATTTTAAACTTTTAAAGTAAACGTGGTAGTAAGTATTTTTCTTGATTTTCTGTTACAGAAGTAGAATTGGACCAAGCGTCTCTCGAAAATGTGCCACCAATGTACGACTCAACCTGTGTCCCTGATCTCAGTGCTTTGTTAGGAACTTATGAACAATCGAATAACTCAAAATCGGCCGTCGCTGCCGCAAACAACAATAACAACGTTCCTGCCGCCAACCAGAACACATCTTCGACACCTTACGGTAAGTCACTTCTCTACATTGCAATGATGAATATTCTTCAATAGAGGGCTGGAAACGAGCGTACCTAACTGAGTTACTAGTACAGTACAAATCATACTGAAAAATGGTTGTGTCGTCAAGCTTCTAATGTGTGAATTAGTGATTGTATCAAATACTCATTTTAACGCAAAATTGTCATGGATCCGAAGACTTGAAGGTTAAAAGATGAAAAAGTTTGAGTCAATCGGGAGAATTAATCAAGAAATCCTGATACAACATTTCTCAATGTTAATGTTAGCTAAATGCTTCAGTTTTAAAGGTCTTTTCCATCCCTCCGTTGAAAAGTTTACCTGAAAGTTGGCTTTCACGCTTTCTAATAATCACGCATTTTTTGCCTGCTCCCGTTCTAATGTTAAATATTACTCAACGTTTTCTCCATCTTCCGTTGTGTCATAATTTAACTGAAACCACCAATCACTTAATTAAGCTGCACCTTTCGAGGAAACACCCGATAAGAAGTTTCTCAAGCTTTTCCAGCTTTTTAAGTTTATTGGTCGGATTTCTGCCCAGAGAGAGCTTCAGAATCGGCTGTAGTTTAACAAGCTGCCCGAACTTTCGATTTTCGTCCTTTCCCGCTTGAGGAAATGCCAAATCATGCTCTCCCTCTATCCAACCGAACATTAACCGAATCGCTGTCACTAAGTGGTTCAATAGGTGTTAATCGGGACCTTGTCCCAAGTCTCTTCGTGACTAAAGTTCCAATTAATCCTCTCACGTTACCGATACCAGACCAGACCAACTCTCTCGGCTCTTTCTCTGTAATTGGTCGACGTAGAGATTGCCGGATCTTTGAATGTACCTTAAGAAGGAAGGATTTCGATCGTTCGGATTGCAATTCCCTTTTTCCATCTGCATGGTCGTCCAGGCACGAAATGGATTTCAGTAGGTCTGCACTTTTACTGGGTCATCATCATTTTAGCTACTCAGTCTTTAAATTCAATTTCAACGTTTTATTTTTGATCATAACTTGTTCTGTTCAAAATTAAGGATGAAATAGAGACCGCCCATTTAACCCCATAACTTTGACTTTGAACTTCCGGGTTTGAAAGTTTTATAACTTGAGGAACTTAATCGGAACTTTCGGGAACTTTTCTGGATCTTAGCATACTGGAAACCTGATGGCGCGCGATTGACAAAAATTAGCATTTGCCGAAAATTTAATGAGCAGGAGGAATGTTATTCCTAAATAACAACAAGTTCAATCGGGGAATTTCCTGAAAGCAGATTTTTAGACAAACACGCATACTCGTACATACGTGAGTTCATTTCAGGATCATCCAATTAAGTGAAAGCTATCCAAAGAATTTTAATCCGAAGTCTAATTTAGTTACGAGCATGAAATTACTGTTCCTCCGCGAAAAGGAAATAGTAGCGGCAAGGAATTTTTGCGGAAATTTCGAGAACTAAATTCTTGTTCTATCGTGTTTTTTGTACCATGCTGCTTTCTCTCCCCCCCCCCTCGTGGTCTAATTATTTCCGCGCTTTTACATCTCAGCGTTTATCCCAGGTTAGGGTTCCGTCCATCCCTTTTCAATGCTTATCTTTCCGGTGGATCTACGTGTTCATGGAAATTCTTCTTCAGCGGGCAACAGTGCGTCACGCTGTCCGTTCCCGGCCGCGCGGATGGGCAGTGCGTTACGTCACCGTGTGTAATGATGTCATCGAGTCATGAAGTCGCGTAAGCACAACTGGCATGAAAAGCCATGCAACCATATCATAGATAGCGCTCGGGCCGCGAGCGCAGAATCGGTGAAAGTTTCTTTGCGAGACGAATCGCCAGTCCAGGCTCTTTTCCGTGACGTAACTTACAGGCGACCCCTCTTCGATTTATGTCCGAGCTGCCTTCTCGATTATCCTCCATGTCAAACCATATCTTTTTCTTTGGAAACACTGGAAAAAAAACACCTTGGATCTGGAGTCCAGACTCTTGAAAACATTGACAAGAAAAAGGACTCTCGATTCAATCAGATTTAAGCTTAAATCCAAAAGAAAACCGCTCAAATTAAGAGGCTTGGTTCTTGATTTAGGCAAAAATCCGATTGAATCAAGAGTATTTTTCTTGTCGATGTTTTTAAGAGTCTGGACTCTAGATCCAATATGTTTTTTTTCCAGTGAATGCTCATGCCTGCGGAAATACCTACCCCTATGGAAATTTTACGTAACGAACTTCATCAGTGTGCATTGATCCTTTTCCCTCAATCCGTAACGTAATGGACCTCTCCCATTGAAAATGCAACGCTCGATGGTTCTGCGTCTCCCCTAAATTTCATGTGATTACAGGATAAATGTGCGGTAAAAAAATATTTTGTTCTATCACAATAATTACGAAATCCCCCAAAGTTAGTTCGTCCCGTAACTCCGCATTTCAGTGATCATCCCCCTCCCCACCTCCGTAACGAATGAAGGCTCGGGCTCCTCCCCTTCATATGATTTGACACAAAATGCGAATATTTTTATTTTTTACGTAAACGTTTGCCTTCTCGCGAACGGTGCGATTTAATATCTGTAAACGAGAATTTACACCTTTGCGTTCCGTCGGGCCGGAAAAGTGAGAGGCACTTTTGTTTGAATGTAGGAAATGTATTCCTTGTGTTTTGCACTAATCTGAAGTTGAAAACAGATAATTTTGCTTTTGGAACCACAAGATCATTTATCAGTACGGCGAAGTAACGTCTTACATGACCCATATGCGGAAAAGACGCAGCCGCCTGAGTGACTCCATCTTTCTGCTCTAGCGTTTAAGTCTCCTCGAGTATTTTCCGCTTGCTCTCTCTTTCGTTATCAAACATCTTAAATGAAGTAATATTTTGGTAAGCACCTCGTGTAGATAAGTTGTTTATCAGTCTTATCTCGCCTTAGTAGCTCATTTACGCTTCTGTTCATCTTCCTATTGGCCGATGTTAACACTTTGAGGAAACTCATATGGCGTTCTTCCTTTGCACGCCAGATCAGTGGCGATTCTAGCAAGTTGGCAAAATTGTTTTTCCTCAACTTAAATGTACGTAAAACAATCGATTCCTGGTGAGGCAGTTGCCTCACCTAAATCGATCTTTTTAATGGATTTAAATCGAGGAAAAACAGTGTTGCCAGCTTGCAAGAATCGCTACCGATCTGCCGTGCTAAGGAAGAACGCCATATGAGTTTCCTCAAAGTGTTAACAGCGGCCAATAGAAGGAAGAACAGAAGCGTAAAGGAGCTACTAAAGTTAGATAAGATTGATAAACAACTTATCTACTTGAGGCGCTAACCTAAATATTTCTTCATTGAAATGTGAAAATTCAATGAATTTGTACGCTGGAAAAAAAACCTCATTGGATCTAGAGTCCAAACTCTTAAAAGTATCGACAAGAAAAAATACTCTTGATTCAATCAGATTTAAGCTTAAATCAAGAACCAAGCCTCTTAATTTGAGCGGATTTCCTTTTGATTTAAGCTTAAATCTGATTAAATCAAGAGTCCTTTTTCTTGTCAATGTTTTCAAGAGTCTGAACTCAAGATTTTGTGTTTTTTTTCCCAGTGCGATCCAAGATTTTCCAAAAAGCTTTTCGCGCTTCGAGTACAAGAGTTCCCGAAGGTTGGAGGTCAGTAGCCTTTAAGTACAAACGGACCCCAGATCGGGATTCGAATCGGAAAACTCGATGGAGCGTAGGAGGCAGCGTTGCGCGTCGATCCCGAATGGAGATGGAGCCGCGAGTTCTTCCCTCGCCCTATCTCGGGTGAGCGGCACCAATCACCGACTCGGGAGCCAATAAATCGGTGGCTGCATGTATCAAGGTGTGGTGGGACCCGCCGCGGCCGCCATCGGGGCATGGCCCATCGGATCAGATCGCCCCGCGTCTCATCCAGCATCATTTATTTTATGTATTCCGACTCGTGACCCCTCCTCATGTGTCGGCCGTTGCCAGGTGTCTCGATTTCTACCTTTCAGTCGCCTCGTTCATTCTGGCAGTTGTTTTGATTCACGCATTGATCACTTGATCAGTGTTTTGGGAAAGTCTTTTCTCGCGTTCTGGAGCCCTGTTCCTAAAATGAGAACGACCTGCAGTAAACCAGTGGCTTGAGTCAAAAAATTGACATCCTAAATTCCAAATCCACCAATATTACACGTTATTCCTATGATTTCAATTTTTTTAAACGCGCATATTATAACCGTTCAAATTGAGTCTATCCGTTCGAAAACGAACGATCTCGGAAAAATTAATTTTTTTCACGGCGCGGTGAAAACTGCGTAACAGCCAGAAAAAGAGTTCCTTTAAGCAAAAAAATGAATATCGTAAAAAATCCGAACTGAGACGTTTTCAAACTTAAAGATCCAATTTAAGTAGTTTAATAGCCTCACCCCCTCTCCTCCCGCCCCGGTTGCAATTTTGTAAGTCTCGGTTCATGTTTTCTTTTTTGGTGAAGGGAACAAGCAGACAGTTCTTCTTTGAAATTGTTTGTGAATTTGCTTTACCCATTCCGAACTTTTAACGGAAATTTTTCAGGACTTTTATGACAGCTCGGCTGAAAATAAAATGAACAGGAGCCAACCTCCTCTTCATCCCTTTCTATCATTTTCGGAACAAAGGCTTGAAATTGTACACTAGTGTGTCACCTTTGCTTATTTTTCGAAGGACAACACAAAGCTCTCATTTCTTCCATAGTATTTTCGTATGAATTAAATTGTCGCAGCCAAGTATGCCACGCCTGGAGTTAATAACGGCGTACTATGCACCTTTACGCTGAAAGCCGTAACGGTATACAGCAGTCATCTCTCCTTTTTCATAAGCCGAACAATAGGAAAGCCGCTAAATTAGTTGTTCGATAAGGAGCCATAAATCTCCCCCACCCCGCTCCTCTATCTCCCGCGAAGTAAGTCAACTCCGAGCCCGGCGTTCTGTTGTCGTCTCTTTATTCCATTCGAAATGGAACGAACAAGGCGGACAATGAAAAGTGGTGTATCTAGCATATCGTGTTTATTG